GGCCACCCAGGGCTCCCACAGATCAGGGGAACCTCAAACAGAGGATAAAGTTGTCCCGGAGCTCAGAGCTGCCCAAAACAAGAGGGAGATGGGGGGCTGAGGGTGCCCAATCCCCCTTTCCCCAGGATTTTTGGTGGTACCCAAACCCCTCTTTTCCAGGACTTTTGGGGGCCTGGAGCTTCTCCGCCTTTGGGGGCTTGGTCAGGTAGTGCCCAAATAGCCCTTTGACCAAGATTTTGGGGCTCTGGGGGTGCTCAGCACCTGCTGTTCTCAGGATTCTTGGGGTCTGGGGGTGCCCAAACCCCCCTGTTCCTCGGGTTTTTTGGAGGCTGACATTGGCCAAAGCCTCCCACCCCCCATTTCCCAGAAATTTTGGTATCTGGGTGTGCCCAAACCTCTCTTTTGCCACAATATTGGCAGTCTGTGTGTGCCACATCCCCCCTGTTCCCGGGATTTTCAGGGGCTGGCAGTGCCCAAAGCCTCTTTTTCCAGGATTTTCAAAGTCTAGGAGTGCCAAAAGCCCAGTGTTCCCGAATTTTGAGGGCCTGGACCTGCACAATGTGAGGATTTTGAGGGGCTGGGGGTGACTAAACATCCCTTTCCCAAAGATTTTGAGGCTCTGGAGGTGCTCAAACCTCTCTGTTCCTGGGATTTTGGGGGGGTTGGGAGTTCCCAAACCCCCCCCTTTTCATAGGATTTCTGTGCTCAGGGAGTGTCCAAGCCCCTCTTTTCTGATATTTTGGGGTCTGGGAGTGATCCAACACCACTATCCCTTGGATTTTTATGGTCTAGGAGAGCTCATACCCCCGTGTTCCCAAGATTTTTGGTGTCTGAATGTTCCCAATCCCCCTGTTCCTGTGTTTTTTAGATGCTGATGGTGCCCAAACCGCTCTATTTTTACATTTGACGAGCTGGGAGTGCCAAACCCTCCCTGTTCTCACAATTTTAGGTATCCTGGAGTACATAACCCTCTCTTTTCCCAGATTTTGTAGTTCTGGGACAGCCCAAACCCCCCTGTTCCTGGTTTATTGGGAGGCTGACATTGCTCAAACCCCTCTGTTCCCAGGATTTTCGGAGTCTGGGTGTGTCCAAACCACCTTTCTCCAGGATTTTGTGGGTCTGGGAGTGCCCAAAAGGACCTGTTGCCAGGATTTTTAATGTCTGGGA